GCCCCCGGCCCTGGCCGAGCACCGTGCCGGCCCCGGCCCCAGCCCCTGCCGAGCACTGAGCCAGCCCCGCACCGCCGGGCCCTCCCTCCCTATTTTCCCAGACATGTCCGGCTTTTGGGGATTTCCCCCCGGACAGGGATTTGAGGCCCCAAAAGCTGTACATGACCGGGAAAATCCGGACGTATGGTAACCCTAATATAAGTATCTATGTGAGGAACAAATATTTAGTTATGAGCTCTTCTATATAGCAGAGAAAGGTATAACACAATCCAATGGCTGGAAGTTGAAACTAGACAAATTCAGACTGGAAATAAAGCCTAAAATTTTAACTGTGATGGTAATTAATCACTAGAATAACTTACTAAGGGATGTTGTGGACTCTTCATCATTGACAATTTTTAAATCAAGATAGGATATTTTTCTAAAAGAATTGCTCTAGTAATTATTTTGAGGAAGTTCTATGGCCTGTGTTATACAGGAGGTCAGACTATGTAATCACAATGGTCCTTTCTTATCTTGGAATCTATGAATTTGTGGGTGTGGAAGGGGAGATAGTTAAAGTTATACATGTGAAAACTATGTGACCTTTCCCACTGACTGACTTCACTAGGATTATTCATGAGCTTATGTGCATTCTTAAATGCTTTGCTGAATCGAGGTCTAAATGCAGGAAGCAGTGGATTTCCTGAAAAGCATCTTGATTTTTATAAAGTTAGTAATGTAGGAACCTTTCCCCACATGCATTTCTAGCAGATGTCATTTTCATTTAGCAGAGCATAGCTCTATCAAGTGCCTTTTTTGCTGATAACTATTGCTTGCTTTCTTCCAGGTGGTGAGTATTCTTCGTTCCTGTTATCTTTATCCCATTTTTCTCTTTCTTATACCTTGAGCATGTGTTGTATCCTCACATTGTCATATTTCATATGTTATCTACCTTAATTTCCAGTAGACAGTCAATATTGCTGCAAGGATTAAACTTTGCCATGTTAATCTAATCAGGTCCTCAATTGTCATCCTGCTGTGGCAACCTAATAGGTGGGGAGAAATGCTAATATAGAGAATAAATGTGTCAATCTGATTCTGCAGACCCCCGCCAGTGAGTGAAGGTGCACCCAAAGGAACTCTGATTGCTGTTGTAACTGCTGCGGCCTTGAATCAGACGATTGTGTATTCAGTTGTTTCAGGAAATGAAGATGGTAAGTAAGAGTATCTCAATGAAGTCGCAGATTATGCTGTATGGTACATTCATGAAAAGTAAACCATTTCAGAAAGTGGTGTGTAAATAAATAAAACAGCTCATGCTAAATCCTGCCTCGCCCAAGTAGCAGCTCCTGCTGCCACTACTCTGCTTTCATGAACCTGCTACATCCTGCCTCTGCAGCAGAACTGCATTTGATGCCCTTTATGGCCGAGGAACAGGAAGCCGGGTTGGCTCCTTAAAATGTAAGAGAGATTTTTCATAGCTCAGTAAGTGCGTTCTAGCTAAAATGTAGGAAGTTGTTTGGTTCTACATTGTGTTATATACATGTCGATATTAGATTCTTCAGTTGTATCATTAAAAATATATATAATGTGCTTTTGAGTGTGCTTTACATGGAATCAGCCTAAATCTATCCTTTGTATAATTGGGATGCTCACTACCCCTGCACTGTGATTTTTATTGATTATCATATCATATCATGAACTTGAAAACTATCAGAGCCACACAGTATCCCCCTTCATGAAGAAATCTCACTTGAAAAATCTCCATGCAGTATTTTCAAGGCATCATCCCCCTATGTGAATAAGGAATAGTGTAAGGACCTGTATGTTCATTGATGATCCTAAATTTACAAGAAAATCCAGTTGCAACACTACTGTATTTTGGTTGTCCATGAAAATGGCCAGTCTACCAAACTGATCCCTGCTGTGTGCAGTGTAGTTGTAGCCATCACGGGATATTAGAGAGACAAGATGGCTGAGGTAATATCTTTATATTACCTTGTCTCTCTAAACTGCTGTCTGGCACTCCTATTCATCCTTGCAATATGTCTCACTGTTGGTCATTCTGCCATAGGTGACCTGGTTGTGGCTTCACACTGTGCTTCCTCTCCTGGGAGCAGAGAATGGGATTTAATCTTAGTGGCCCTCAAGTATTCACATACAGTGGGTTTTCTGACAGTTGATCTTGAGGTTTGCCATATAGAGCAGCTGGTCCTCAGAACTGTCTTCTGGCCAGCTTTGATAATAAAATGGTGCAATACGTAAACTGCATAGTGTTCAAATAGAATTGCTTCTGACCTGTCTCATGGCTGGGATGAAAGTGTATGTAGTGTAGTATTGTAGTCCTGTCATGATCATGGTTGGAATGGAAGTAATGATGGGAGATTTACATGCCCCTGGTGAAGTTCAGCCCTCTTCTTGCACACTGATAAAACCTCTCTGCCAGGGATAACATATCTGTGCCTCTATCATTCCACATCAGCCAGCACCCCACTGCTGAAAAATGCACACACTTGATCAACTCAACCAGGATATATTTTCATTTAAGGAAATATTAGACTTGTGTTAGTTGATTGCAGTAGAGAAGCTTGCAAAAAGGTTTGCCATAACCTGAGTCAGTTCCAGTTTGTTTCAGACCAGCCAGCTGACAGCTTCACTCCTTGTTGTGGACAAAGGTGGATTAGGGGTTTGTGAGGCCCTGGGCCAAAGCAAGTGAGGGCCCCTCCCCCCACACTTCTGCTTTCAGTCCTGCTTTCCCCCC